GGGTGGTCGGTCATCCCGTGGAGGAGGAACGCGTGGATCCCTTGGATGTGGAATGTGTTCCGCACGCTTTGCCAGCTGCTCCCGGTCTGGGCCCTTGAGTCTGGCAGAAGTGGTGCTGGTGCCAGCAGCAGTGCTGTGGGCATGGGGCTGCCTGCTCCCACCCTGCCTTTCCCCCCACCTGCCTGGGACAGCAGGTGCTCAGGGTGCAGTATCCCATCCGGAAAGGCACCTCGGGTTTCCCTCACCTTTGGGCACCCAACTGTTTTCCACTTAAAGTTGCCGGGAAGGAAACATTCAGCTTTGTGCCCCCCCCCTGCTCCCTGTGGCTTTGCTGGCAGAAGCCCTGCGTGGGGCTGTTGTCCCCTCTGTGTGTGTCCCCCTTAGTTCAGGGTATGACCATGGGGAAACAGCTGTGAGAACAATTGATCCGCAGGGATTTTCCCTCCCTCCAGCTGATCGACCGAGCCACCAGCCCCCGCGACGAAGGTGACCCCAAAGCCGAGCAGAAGACCCTGGAGGAGAGCTGGCAGGATTTGGCCTTGATCAAGACGACACCAAAACCCCCCAAGAAGCAGAGGAGGGAGGACCTCAGTGAACCTCTGCTCTCCCCAGCTCAGCTCCTGGTGCCAGGTGAGGCTCGTGGGGTGTGTGGCAGCTCCTGCCGCGAGTGGGAAGATCACCTTGGTGTGCTCCAGGCTGGCTGAGCTGCTGCCCCTGGCCCTGCTGGGAGCTCCAGGTTATTTTTAGCTCAGTGTCTGGAAAGCTGACCTGCTTGTGCCCTCCCTTCTGGGAAGCTCCTGAGCCATGGCCCTTTTTAGGCAATGCCTTTGGTAACAGCACCTCTGACACCTTCCTGTGGCCACAGCGCAGCAGGGGCTGCCGGGCCTTCGTTTCCTCCAGAGTGGTGCCTGCTCTGCTCCTTTTCTGGGTCAGCTCTGGCTGGAGGAAGGTGCACTCAGGAGCTGCCAGAGACAAAGGCTGCCTTGTCTGGCTGCCTGCAGAGTTGGAGATTTCCAAGTGGGAAAGCAGTCTGGTTTGGTACAGAATGAGTCCTGAGGTACCAGACCCAGAGCAGGATTGTTTGTAGGACTCCAGCAGGTTTGCCCATCTCCAGCTGTGGAGTGAGGCTGGGTGCTGTTGGGTTTTGAGGTTAGTTTGGGGTCTGCCTTGGCTGAGAATTGCTGGGAATGTTGGAGGATGTGGTGGTGGCCCCCTTGGTAAGGTCAGCCTTGTGTCCAGAGGTGGGCAGAGAGCTGAGCATCCAGCTCTTTCCCCCTCTTGACTGAAGCAGGAGAAATTGCTGCTGCAGGTTGCACAGTCTGCTCAGAGCTGTGACATTTCCCTCCCTTCTGCCCCATCCCCTTCTCCCAGAGCCCAAGCTCTGTGTTGCCCCTCTGGAGACTCCTCAGGTTGCACCCAGACCCCTGCACTGCACGCTGCAGGAGAAGCTCCTCTCCCACTACAGCAGTCGGCTGGCCGTGCCTGAGGCACAAGCGTCCCTCGCCCCACATCTGGCCAGGAGCATCTGTGTCCAGCTGCAGAAATTCCTGCGGAACAAGTGCCCGGAGCTGCCCTTTGGCAGCCTTTTCCTCAGAGGTCCCCTGCTGGATGGCCTCGGGGCTCTCACAGCTGATGACATCCACCTCATGCTGCCAGTGGTCCTCGACGCCGCGCTCTGGACCCTCATCCCAGGGGAGGACACGGTGGTGGGGAACCCCCAGTACTGGATGATCAAGAGGACTGATCTGGAGTATTTCCCTCGTGGGTGCAGCCCCTGGGATAGGTTCGTTGTGGGCTGGTACTTCTCCTCCAAGCTGCTCACCGAGACCCTCCACAAGATGCTCGTGGCCTCCATCAACTGGCCTGCCATCGGCAGCCTGCTGGGCAGCGTCATCCACCCTGTCGTGGCCTCCCAGGAGCTGAAGCTGGAAGTCAAACACGATCAGGTCGAGCTGAGCATCACCCTCTTCCCAGTGGTGGAAATGGAAGACAGGGTTCTTCTGGCCGCTCCTCCCAAAGGGCTGGTGGAAAACCTCTGGCTTGAGAGCTTTTACAGGGCGGAGGTCTCGAAGGTGAAGGAGCTGGATGCCGGTGACCGCGGGGCTCCCCAGCGCTGCCTCTGCGTCCTCAACGGCGTCTGCAAGAGCCACCCCACCCTGCACAAACTGAGTGGCAGCCCCTTGACCCACGTCGTCCTTCACCTCAGTGCCACCACTTCAGACTGGGCAGAAGAAAACCTTGCTGACAGGTTCCAGCAGGTGCTTGAGGAGCTGGTGGGTTACCTGGAGAAAGGGGTCCTGCCTTCCTACTTCAACCACAAAATCAACCTCTTCTGTGAGCTGTCGGAAGAGGAAATTGATGAGATGGGCTTGATGCTCTACAGGGCTGTGTCTGAGCCAGAGCTCCTGCTGAAGGAGAAATGCTCCTGAATGTAGGGTGTTCCTCACCCATCTGCTGCTCCCTGCTGTGAGGGTTGCAATGCTTCTAGCTGACTAGTCAGAAAGAGACAAAGTTCTTGCACTTTATAAGAAGAAGTATTTCCTGTTTGAACAGAAGGTGCCTGCACAGAGGTGGGTGTTGGTGTCAGGAGCCTTTGGCTGGGAGGCTCTGCCCAGCCTGAGCAAGTGCAGCTCACACTTCAATCAAGTACCTACAGGTTAGTCCCATCCTCTGGGCACTGGGAGCTGGTGTGAAGGATGTTTGGTCCCTGGTTCCCAGTGTCCTCTGCCTGTCCCAGCCTGCTGTTACTGCTGCCAGGCTCCCCTCGTGCTCCAAGACCTGCTGGAGGGGAGCAGTTCCTTGCTGCTGCTGTTGTCCTGCAGGCTCCTCAGTCAGCTTTTGGGACATGGTGGGACCTTCATCCATCTGCAGGGTGCTGCTCGAGCCATGACCTGGGTGGTTGTCTGGGCACTTCAAGGTACAGCCACAGCAAATGGGGCCACAGGTTTGTTCCTGGGAGACCCTTCCAGTGGCCAAAAGGGGTGAGCTCAGCCCTGCATCCTTGTTCTGCTGGGATCTGCTCTGCCCTGAGGAAGGGAGGTGCTTCCAGCATGGGGCTGGGACTTTGTGCTGTCCCACAGCTGTGTTTTGCTGGAAGATGTCCTCAGAAAGGCAGTGGCAGGAAGAGCTCCTGACAGCCAGGAGGCTCCTGGTGTCAGCCCCTAGATGGAGGCTGTGGCAGGGCTGTGTGTCCCTTCCCAGTGGTGGGTCACTGCCCGTGTCTGTCTGTGGGTCCTCACTGCTCTGCCCTGAACCACCATGTCCCCTTCTCATCTGTCCAGTGACCATTTCACACATATTGCTGCTGTCTTCAGATCCTGTTCCCCCAAAGCCCTGTGAGCTGGAAAGTAGGACAAGAATGATGGTCTGAGCTGAGCACTTGCAAGAACTGAAGTGGTTTCTGCTTTTTATTAAGAAGGTGTGTTCTGCTTGGGGATTTTGTTTTGTTTTTTGACTTTTATTCCTTTGAGTGGCTCCTAGTAGGATTTGGTTCTGGCTGCAGTGCCAGGGCAAAGGAATATATTCTTATATTTAATGGGAAGAGCTGGTTTTGTACACTGGTGGAGATGGAGAAATCTGTGGACTTCAATGTGGGCAGCTGTTGTGGTTTGGTTTTCTTTACAGCTATTGTCTTATGGGAGGGGAAAAAAACACCCTGTGCTTTTTCTCCCAGTCTGAAGATGACTTTATTTGTTCCTCCAAACCACTTCCCAGGTGTCAGTGATGAGAATAAACCTTCCCTGTGTATTCTGGTTCTCTGGTGTCAGCTGTGTTGTCTCCTTTCCCATGAGAAAGGCTGAAGCCACCCTCCAGCTGTGGTGGCATGTGCAGGGTGTCCATTCCCTTGTGCCCAGAGCTTGGTGCTGGTCAGACCCCTCTCCCAAACCCCTGCAGAGTGCCTGGCTGCTGTATGAGAGCCCCCTGGACACTAAGCTTGTGCCACCTATCCAGTGGCTCTGATGCTGGCCAGGGTTAGACTGGGGAAGCTGATGAGGGCTGATGCCACCAGCAGCTCTTCCCCTGCTGCCTGTGAGCTGCAAAAACACTTTCTGCTGCCCTTGCTGTTCCCAGGCCCATCGCCAGCTCAGTGATTGCCATACAAAGCCTCCTAATCCTGTTATTTTCACCAGCAGGTTTGTATTTTTAGGCCACAGCTGTTGATTGTGGGAGTGAGGGGTACAGGGAAATGCAGCTTGAGCTCCCCTGACCATGCTCAGCCACGGGGCTGCTGTGGAGTTAAAGGTTCTCTTCTCTCTCATGCAGACCCCAAAGTGAACCTGTGCTGCTGTGATCTCCCTGTACAACGTGCTTCAGCCTCCTGGCTGCTTGGGACTGATCCCAGGGAACTGCTCCATATCCCAAAGGAGCAGGGACCTGAGCAGCACTGGCAGCCCTGGGGGAAAAACAATGCTGTCCTCTGGTGGAAGAGGACAGGGAGTCTTGTGGAGCTCCTTGCTTTGATGTACAGAGGAAGCCCCAATGAGAGGGAGGATGGAGCCTGGCTCCCTGGGAGTTCAGTCAGGAAACCAGAATCTCCCTTCAGTTCCACCAGCTGTCTGTCTGTCTGTCCCTGGGCAGCTGATGCAGCTGCCCCTCTGCTGCTGACTTCTAAAAAACACCAGGAGGAGTTTCTGCCAGGAAGGTTTCTGTGTGGTTCTGCTGAGTGAGTGGGAAGAGCAAGATCTGGGTTGATGCTTTTACAGCAAGAGCTGAGCTGTTTGAAGCAGGAAGAAATAAGGTAGAGATAAGATGCCACAGTATCAAATGAAAAATTAAATAATCTTTTAATAAGAAAATTAACGGTTTGACACAAACAACTTTCATTACCTAGCAGCATCACAGAAGCACCTCTCATGGTTTAAGGAAGAGCTCTCTTTCAAATTCAGGAACTGAGATGAGGGTTCTTCCTGACCTTTGCAGCTGAGCTTCCCTTCCAGGGAGAGCATCATCTCCTCCACACCTGGCTCTCCCCTTCACTGGCAGCAACAACCAAGGTAAGCAGTGACAAAAAAGAAAGGGGAATGTTCCTCAGGTAATGTGAACTTGAAAGGAAACTTAAAATTCCACACTGTGGAAAGCCAGGGACTGAGGAGAGGGAAGCAGCCCTGGTGTCTGTTCTCATGGCCATGATCCAGCTCTTCCTCCAGTAGAAAGGCTGAGGAGAACCAGCACCATGGTGGGAGCTGCAGGTGAATTAGATCTAGTGATGTTTTCTCCACAGTTCCAGTTTCCAAATGCTTCCTTGAAATGTTTAGACCATCCCAATCTGCTCAACAGAAAAGCAGCTGAAAACAAAGACTGACACCAGTAGGGGAGCCACCTTTTGAAGCTGGTTCAACCCTTGCTGCCCAGGCAGCCTGCAACCAGCCCTTCCAGTAAGCATTCAATGGACTTACTTCTAGACTCAAGTTCCTTTCAGCAGTAGCTGCTTGTGTAGGAGCTCACAACCCTGGACCTTCCAGACTCTTGAGAGATGTCCATCCAGGCTCAGTGGTTCTGAGGACAGTTTTTCCTTGTATGGCCAGGCTGGTGGCAAATGCTACAGGTCCGTGGTTTCTTGGCAGTGACTCCTGAGGACAGAATGCTTGGTCTCTTGGCTTTACTTCCCAACCCTCTTGAGTATCCACTGCTGCCAGGGGGGTTCACAGAGACATCTCCAGAAGGCCCTAGAGAGAAACAACTTGCATTTAATACCTTTGGAAATACAAGTAGGTGAGAAACAGAAGATAAGTTCAATATTGCAGGTCAAGGATTTTACTATCCCTGCTGCTCAGATTATTTCCAAAACTACAGGTGCTTCAGAAGAGCTAAATGTTACCCACTTATCTTGCAGCATTAGAGAAACGTGGGAACAGAACAGGGGACACTGGTTTGCCTGGTTCTGCACTCTGGTCTGCAGCTGAAGCAGAAACAACAAAACATGCAAGAGGAGAACTTGGTTTCTAAGTGGTTTTGAAAATTTTATTCTACCCCTTTAAGCCCGAATGTCTAAAAAGGTGAGTGCTGAAGATCTCAGACCACATCTCCACCTCTGCACTTTGTCTTTTGTCCCTTCTCTTTCCTCCACATCCTTATTTTGCTATTATTTTTCTGTAAGGGGACTTCTCAGCATTTTTCCACAGCACCCACACTCAGTTTCCCAACTGATCAAAGCTTCAGAAAGACTTGGCCTTTCCCTGTATTCCCAAACTAGGGCAGAGGGAGCAGCTCACTCAGATTCCCTGGCATGACAGAATGGGGTTTAAGATCTCAAAAAATCTGTAGCAGGTTGGTAAAAGCTCTCACAAAGCTGAGCACTGTGACTTGGGATGAAAATTTCCCAGACTGCTGGGCTTTATCCAGTGACTCACATATGCTTAAGCTTACTGCACACAGAAGTAAAGCATTCTGCTTGGAGCTCAGCAGATGTGTACTGAAGATGTCTCCTGCTAACAATGGGGAGGTAAGCCAGGCTCAGCTGTTACAAGGAACATTTATAGTACTATGATGCTGCTGACAGATGTTCTAAAGACAGACCCTGATGCCTGTCAGATGTATGAGTTGCTGCAAGAGCTGTCACGCTGTGGCAGCAACACACGCCTGTGAGAAGTGTGTTCAGTTCAGCTTCAAGGGCAGCCTCCAACCCTTGTGTCCCAGCCCAGCCTCACCTGGTTCCACAGCTTCATCTGCCCACTGGAAGAAGCCACATTGCTGCTCCCGCGGCTTGGAGCAGGTGTGGAACTGCCTCCCTTTGTTGGGCCCGTCCTTCTGGACGGTGCGGGTGACAGCTGGTTGGTCACACTTGCAGACAGTGCCACCTCCTGAATCTGAGCTGTTGCTTCCAAAGGGCTCTGGGCCCCTCCCTCCTCCGGGACGCTGGAATCCTGCTGGGCCCCTTCCTGCGAAGGGCTGGGGCAGCGCAGAGCCCCGCGGAGCCGCGTTGCTTCTGTCCTCCGAGTGCTGATCAGCCCAGAGGAAGAAGTTGCAGGTGCTGGAGCTGCACTTGTAGAACTGCCTGCCTTGGTTGGGCCCTTCCTTTCGCACAGTCAGCAGCAGGGCTTCAATCCCACAGTTGCACACCACGGCGTTCCCTGCATCCGGAGCGGCCGAGGGAGCAGCCCGAGCTGTTCTTGCCGAGTTCAAAGAGAGCAGACGTCCCGGCGCCGGGTTTGTGGTCCCTCTCACCTGCCTGTTTTCACCACTAGCTGTGCTGGAGGAGCTGCTGACCTGCGGGTGGTGACCTTGCTGGCTGGCTGGTGCTGGCTGGGCCGGGCGGTGCAAGTACTTGAGGTCCAGGAGCTCTTTGAGCATCTCATCACAGCCCCCGATGCAGCCAACAAACTCCAGGGGCATCACGGGTGGCACGCTGCCCCTCTTGAACTTAAACTTCAGTCTAAAGGGAAAGGAAGAATTCAAGTCTCTCAGTTTCTAACTCCTCATCAACAGACCTCGATTTGAAGTTTTTAAAAATTTTTTTCAAATTCTGCTGTGCTTGCACCAGTTTCCCCAGCCCCTCTTCTCTCCATCCCCAGACCACGCCAGTGCTGCTCCAGCTTTTTAAGACTGGAATGGAAAATGGTTGCCCAGCCCATGGAGGTTTCTTGTCCTGATAGCTAAAGCAAAGTCTGAGGGACTGTGTGCCCCTGAGGGAAAGCTGGTACCACCCACCTGTGAACAGGATGGGGTTCACACACAGCACAGATGCTCTCATCCCTGGTCACATCCAGCACAAAATCAGGAAACCAGACTGCAGTTTTACAAGCTGGATAGCCTGTGCAGCTGAGATAGAACCTGTTGTGGGATAAAAGCACTGGATGAGGAAGAGGCAAAGTCGTGACAGTCAGTGATGTGTTCTCCTGTCTTCTCAGCCATCAGAAATGGTCAAAAAACAGTTTTTAAGACCAAATATGTACTTGAGAAAGAAATTAATCTGAGTCCACGCAGCTTATGTAGCTGGTGGAGTAAGCTAGCTGCTCCCTAAGCTTCATGCTTGCTGCAGAGGGGAGATAAAGGAACAATGCCCAGAAAAACAGAAACCAAGGCAGGAGGCTACTTTCTACAAGAGGGAAGATCACCAACCCGCCGTTCCTCTTGGTCTTCAGGACCATGTCGCTGTTGCACTGCGGACACTTCCGAACAGCCACGGGCATTGCTGGGTAGACCTCCTCTTGCTCTGTGATTTCTGTGCCTTCTCCAAAATACTGAGCTAGGGCTTGGTCCAACCTATAAAGAAAGTAGCAGAGCATCCTGTGTGTCTCCTCTGCAAAAAGCAATCAGGCAATGCAGTGAAATGGATCTTGCTGCCCGCCACACAGCCCCTCCAAGGTTCTCCACAGCACCATGCCTCTGGAACAGGCCAGGTGAGGGCACAACATGGAAGAGGTCAGTGCACTCTGCCATCTCTTTCAGCCAGTTCTGAGTTTAATGTTAAGGGTTTAAACCAAGATGAGCAATGAGTTTGCACCAACCCACAAGTGTGCCAGGATGCAAGTCATCTCTTCCCATGTAAGTGCCCACACATGCTGGGCAGAGCTCCAGGGAAAGTGTGACAGGACCCCACTCCAGGCTGAGCCCCAGATGAGAAGGCAGCACCTCCCAGAACAGCAAAGCAAGCAGAAGAGGGCAGAGACAGGACTTACTTGTTAGCTCTGGCCACAGCTTCAATGAAGACTTGCTTGTACTTCTGGACCTGCTGCTGCAACACAACAGATTTGTCCTTCTTCCCTTCACAGATGAGTTTCAGATCAGCCTCCAGCTCAGCTCGAAGGTCAGGCTTGGACATCTCGTAGCCCATGGAATCGTAGCCTGAGGAAGACACTGCATGGTAAGCACAAGGAACAAGGAAGGAACCTGCTGCTTTCCTGATGGGCTCTGCTCTCACCTTCAACCAGCCCCATGCCCAGGTGGCCTGGGAGGAAGCGCTGATCCTGGGTCAGACCCACGTACATCCGCGTCTTGATGGTCTCGATGTGCTCGGCGTGAGTGGCGTCGGTCCCTGAAAGCAGGTAGGTTGGTAGGGGAATTAGATGCCAAGAAGTGACTTTCCCTGTGCCTAGTGCAGAGTGCAAGGTGCTAAAGGAACCAGGAGACAACTTATGGTCAGGAGCAGCACTGCCCACATGTGCTGGCACTGAGGGCAATAAGGTGCCGGCAGGAACACCCTAAGCTACACATCCCCCTGGGTACTGGGAACTCTCTGCAGGCTCCTTGGGATCTTTGGACTCTGCCTTTCATGTTAGGAGGAAATTCTTCACAAGGAGGGTGGTCAGACAGTGCAACAGGCTGCCCAGGGAAGTTGTGGAGCCTCCATCCTGGCAAGTGTTCAAGGCCAGGGTGGACAGGGCTCTGAGCAACCTGGTCTAGTGGGAGGTGTCCCTGTCAATGCAGGGGGGTTGGAACTAGATGATCTTTAAGGTCTTTTCCAACCCAAACCATTCTATGATTTAAGTGATTTTTGTCTTAAGTGATGTTTAGAGAATTGCCTACTCTGAGGGTGGGACAGAACTGGTGTTAGTTAAGAAGCTTATGAACAAAGCTCTCCCACGAGCCAAAGGCCACACTGGCAATACTGACCAATGCCATGTTTCTCCATGAGAGCAATGAGATCCGCTTCTGTGAGGAGCAATGGAGGGCTGGTTTCCCCATCCACCATCTCCACTGTAGTGGGCTGAAAGCGAGACCCTTTCTGATACAGTGGGATAACCTGAAGGGAAGGAGAATCTCTTTGAAACCACCTTCTGGTCACCAAAGACAAGATGTCACACTAACAGCAGGGCAGTGCAGTAGCAGGGCAGCACCCTGTTCTGGAGGAGATCCAGTCTCAGGGTCATCAGGATTAGCCAGTAACAAGCTGTTTGAGATCAAGGAAGAGCAACTACAGCTCCTCTTGGTGAGTAAAGTCAAGTTCTACATCCCTGGGTGGTCTCTGCTGTGGTGTCAAAAGGGGAAGGACCTATCTAAAGCTGGCACAATAAAGCCCCACAGCAGGGATGGCTTTGAGTGGAACAGCCAGTGGACTGGGAATAGTCAGAGGACATTCTATAGAGGTGTCTGAGCTGGCAGTGAAGTGCAACTTTAAACTCCAGATACTTTAACCTCTCCCATCTCTGTTATTCAAGGGTATTACCTTATCACTCCACTTCTCATAAGGATAAACTTCTAGGTAATTTCGGGCCAGGATCATTAATCCTTGAGCAATGAAGCGCTCATTAGCGATGTCAATCTCCACAGTTGTTTCCTGGCCCTTGGCATCTTGGGAGCAGCAAGCCAGGAAATGGCGCACGATGAATTCGTACAGTCTCTGCTCGTTGCCCTAAAAGCAAAGAGGAAAAGAGGGTCAGAGCCTCCTCCTGTGTCAATGAGGTGCCCAGAAACACAAGGGAGATCTCAGGTGAGGAAGCCCTCTAATCATGATTACATTATTAAGATGTGTATCTTTATTTACCAAGCAGTCCAAGCCACCTGTTACCTCTGCCCTTGTTAAACTCACCTGCAGGCTAGTGGTGTGTTTTGTGGGGTGAATGGGAGGATGAGCCTGATCTGATTTGTTTCCACTCCGAGGGGTTGGCCCACCCTCATCCAAAATCCTCTGTGCAAATGCTCCCCAGCTCGGGTCCTGTGTTTGCTGTTGCACTAAGGCAGAGAGGTTCAGCTCCTTGGGGAAAATGTTGGTCTCTGTTCGGGGGTAGCTAATGAACCTGAAGAAAGACAGAAGGAGGAGCTCCAAGATGCTTCCCATTTTGGGCTAAAGGCCATTTATTTTTGAAAGATTTAAGTTTGCCAGGCCAAGTCTTGCTCTCTTACCCTTGAGTATAGAGTTTTTCTGCTATTCTCATGGTTTCCTTTGCATTTATTTTCAGCTTGCGGGAAGCCAACTTCTCCAGTTCCTGAGTTGGGACAAGCCAGAAGAAGAAAAGAAAAAAATGTATTTGTGCATAATTCAGAGTGGTGACTAAAAATCTCTGTTCAAAGCTGCTTTCAGAGAAGTCCTTTCAGGACAGTTCAAACGTACCACAGTGTCCAGGGGCAGGGGCCTCCATTTGCTCTTTGGCTTGCTCCCAACCTCAACAACAGTTGCTACTGGATCCTAAACACAGAGGAAGAAAAAGGCAAAAATCTCCTTTAGGAATTTACACAAAGTGGTGTTTAACATCTTGAGCAAGAGGGATGCAGGAAATGTTTGACTAGTGGAGGATTATGCAATTATTTACAAGCTTTCTTACCTCCATACACATCTGGTAAAGGACCAGGCAGGCTGTGTGGTTGAAGAGCCGGTTCCTCTTCCAGTTGAAGACCACAGTGCCCTCTTCATGATCATGTGTCACTGTGCAGAACAACAGAGCTGAGTGACACAGTCCTGATACAATGGAAACACTCAGAGCTGGGAAACCTTCCAGCTCTGCTTCACAGCCATGGCAAAGGAAGAGGAAACCACCTCTGCAGCACTCTGTTTCTTGCCCTGATTTTTTTTTCCCTTTCTAAACTCCTCAAGCCCTTTCAGATGGAGCCCACAACTCCCTTTACCCAAGCATACCTTTGATTTTATAGAAGCCTTCAGGAACAAAGGCCTGGATGGCTTTGAAGCGTTCAACCACAAAGCCCAGCGTTGGGAACTGGCAGCTGCCGTAGCTGATCAGCTGATCCGCTAAAATATCCGGGAAGATCTTCCGGAGCCTCAGTGTCTGGAATCTGGTGAAGGCAGCACCTGAGAAAACAAAACATCAGACTGAGTAACACAACATTGGAGGATGATTACACCACTTCAGATGGTTCTTTTCAGTACTCCCGAGTATTGATTTTGCTTGATTTTTAAGACTTGCTTGCAGAAGCCTCCGTGCTGTGTGAGCTATACACCTGAACTTGGCTTCAAAGAGCACGTTTCCAGTAAAACATGAGATGTGATTTAGTTGTCTCTGATGTAAAAATCAGATTTATGCCACCACAGAGGGCAGTTCTGCTGTGTGTGGAGGATACAGCTGATTTCTAAACACCCCTTGCTGGGCTTTAACAATGCGTATTGAATGTGGTTAGAGGGAGAGTCTGGTGGCTGGCTCTCTTGTTCAGCACTTTAGGGGAGTTTAAGTACTTACAGACAATAAGCTGAACACTGGTAACAAAGCTGTCCCCTGCCTGCCACCCTCCTGCCACGTCCCTTTAGAAGAGCCTGCAGCAGCTCAGGCCTGGCAGCCTGCTCTCACTTCCAGCTCGTGGACTTGGGAGAGTTGGATTAATGGTTGGAGTCAATGATATTAGAGGTCTTTTGCCACCAGAATGATTGATGGTGTTTACCCACCTATCCTGAGGTCCAGCTCCTGCCTGACGTCAACAGCATCACTGGTTTTCTGATCTGGCTGGGTGAGGTTCTCACAGGCTGTTCTGACGGCGTGGAGCGTAATCTCTGAGAACCGGGCTCGGAAAACCTGGAGGTTTGGCTTTACTGCCAGACACCAAATTGAGAACACACCTCTGTTAGGAGCTCCCTGAGCAGTGATACCTGTTAAATCAGCACTCTATTTGACTCAGATTGCTGAAAAGGATGCTCTACACACCAGCTTTGCAGACGTGGATGATCTCAAAGCCGATGTTCTCTCCTTCTCGGTCGCAGTCCGTCCAGATCACCAGAGCCTGGCACTGCTGGACTTCCCGTTCCAGGGTCCTCTGAGGAAACAACCCAGGGTGAGACACACCAGGCCACTGGCTTTGTCACTTCATTGTGGAATGACTCACTGGCTGAATGTAACATGCAACATGTATCCATAGAGATAAATTGTTGCCATAACATTTGGTAATTGTGTCTCTCAAGAGATGAGGCTGTTTTCAAAAGAACTGAGTCATTTATTTACATCTGACCCTGTTAAAAGCAGGGCTGGGATTGCACCACAGGCTGGTGTCTGAAAATGTCAGGGTTTGGTAACACTGAGATGCAATTTTTCCACCTTGATGGGAAAAAACCCCAAACACCTTCTTTTAGCAAATAAATTGTTCCTTTATTGCACTAATTGTAAGCGAGCTGGAGATGTTCAGTGTCACAAAATCATGGCACATACAGTCCTAGGGAAAGCAGGAGGAATTTGCTTAACTCTGGAACTTAGAAATTCAGGACAAAGGGACAATCCTCCTCCTGTCTAAGACAATATTTTTAGAGCCAACCTCTGAAGGCAGAGTTACAGGGCAGCACTTAAAGACAACGTACCTTGATATCCATGTAATTTTCAGGGCAATACTTCTCAATTTCAGCATCAAAAAGAGCCAGGGGGTTGCAGCTGTGCCTGGTGAGCAGAGGATGAGCACAACAAACTAAAACACATGTGGTGAGACACTGACTGGTGCTGTCTTGTGAAGAAGTGTTATTCAATTCAGAATATATTTAATTATTGGCTTTGTCTTAGCTTAAGAGTTCACATGAAATGCTGAGTTACAATTAAAAGGAACAGAAAAAAAAAGCAGAACAGCCCTAAATAAGCAAATTCTCTTTTTTCAAACACAGAGAACAAAGGAGAGGGAAGCTGGAGAAAAATGCCTGACTTCCCCAGACAACTCCTACTCTGACAAAGGACACAAATATCAATCAAGTTTTGGAATCAGTTTAATTCCTTAATGTATTTTAGCCAGTACTATGACTGCATTTTAGCCAATGCTGTGACTGTGCTCTGCAGACAGTCATCTGAAACAATATTTTAGCTAATCTACACAAACTTTGGTCCTTATCACCCTTTTCTGCACACGGTGTCAGAGTCCCTGCCTGCTTCCTAGTCTTTGAACTTGCAGAGCCCTGCTCAGCTTGGGGTTGAAAGCCAAAGATGTCCCTGGTGGGGGTACTGACCATTTCCGAAAGGGCATCTTAAAATCATGAGCCAGCAAGTGTCCAGACACAGATGTCATCACCATGGTAACGTTCTGCAAGAGACAGAGCGAGCTCATTAGCACCCAATTAGCGACCTGATCTTGAGGCAGTTCTCCATTTCCACCAAGTGACACCTCCCTCCTGCTCTTCTCTCTGACAACTAAATCTGTGGCCTCCATTTCTGTAGGAAGGTCCTGACCCTAAACAGCAATTTATTGGCAGTGGTTGAGCCAAGCAAAGATCATCTGACTTTTCCTCATCTTTTGGACAAAATGTCCTCACTTCTGGAGATGTTTTCTGACTTCTGACAAATGGCTTTTGGTAATTAATACTTTGCACCTCTCTAATCCAGCATTGGAATGAGAGAAAACTCTTACCTGGCCAAACATCTGGTAGTCATATTCATAGATCTTGTTGAACTTGGAAAACCCTTCTCGCTGGAAGGAAAAGGAGAAGTTGTTGAGTTTCTGGCTCCTAACAGGAACCAAACACATTCCATCTCCACAGAGCATGGAGAAGCCTGGGGCAAGAGAACACCAGAAATTGCAGCTAATGGAAACTACCAGAATCATTTCTGGAGACACTGAAATGGTGCTTCCCAACATCACAGAGTTTAAAGCGATGCCCCAGGGGGATGATGCCAGGGTTATCTCCTCATGAACAGCAATGACAAACAGTGGGGAATAGATCTGTTTAATGGTGCTGGGTAGTGACATTCCTGGCAAACAAATATCCTGTTTCAAACTGTGCCAGCTCTGGGTCCCCCAAACCACCCTCCACCTGAGACTTGTGGAGGTTTCTAGATTGGGTATTTGCTGCTTATCCTACAGAAGCAGGATAGTGTCATCCTGGGTCAGGACTGTCAGTGCTTGGATTGTCAATAACACCTTTCAGTCAAATCTAACTCTGGTCTGGAAGCACCTTCTAGGTACCAAGTAATGACAACAACTGTTAAAGGTCACAATACAAAGCAGCAGAGAGATCTTTGAACTCCTCCAAACCACAGGCCATCTCGGTGTTATCATGTGAACTTCAGTAAACCCCTGACACTTGCTGACGCTGCAGGAGTGGTGGCTTTGGACTGGGGAATGCCAACAGATGGTTTCAGTTCCTGAAGCCTTTTTACATACATTGCAAAGCTGGGAATGACACAGGGGGCCCTCACCAGGAAAGCAGAATTCTAACAGGCCTTAAGTCACAGGGAAACAGGGTCTGAGACCCCCAAAGACATTTGGGCAAGTGGTGTTTGTCCACCAAAGAAAGCAGTTCTTGTACCCTCACACAGCCAGAGACAAAACCAGTGCAAGATGTTGCACATGTTGGTGTGAACTGCCCCTGCCAAACTCTGCAGAGGGAGCTGAGGCTCAAACCCAGACTGCACCTGAGCCCAGGTGCACGGTGGCCCTGGTGAGCTGAGCCTCTCCAGCCAGCCAAGCCAGACCTGTACCAGGAAGCAGCCAGGAGATGTGCTGAGCTCCTACCCGCCGCATTCTGCTGTTGGAGAGCAGGTCTGCAATCCCGCGGGCAGCGTCGTTCTTCTCGGCCACGCACAGGACCCTGCGGATCCTCTGCAGAGCCCCGTCCTCGGCAGCCCGGGAGAAGAGGCGCCAGGGCTGGGGCAGCATCCTGACCCCGCGGGCAGCAAAGAGCCCGGCCTGGAGGTTCATTCCCGGGCACGGTGACAGCTCCCGCGGGGACCAGACATGCTGGTGCGTCCCAGGCTGGGGCCTGCTGAGCACAAAGAGCGATCACTGAGTCTCCCTGGCCAGCGGGCCCCGGGTACCACCCCCTGCCCGGCTGCCCCTAACC